CTTCGCGGGCGCGACTGAAGCTGCTGGGGTCCGGGCGGCCACAGGGCTTGCGGCAGAGCTGGCGGAAGCAGCGCTTGAAGTTCTCGTCGAGGAAGGCGTAGAGCACGGGGTTGAGACTGCTATTGGCGTAGCCCAGAGCGATGCACAGGTGCAGCGCGGCCACCACCAGCGGGTCGCGCCGGTCGATATCCACCAGCGTCCAGACGATGACGAATATGTGGATGGGCGCCCAACACACCACGAAGGCGCCCACCACCACCAGCACCATCCGCGTGATGCGCCGTAGGCTGCGGTCCTTCTCCTTGGAGCCCGACAGCAGGCGCACACTGCGCAGGCGCAGCAGCATGAGGCCGTAGCACACGGTGATGATGAGGATGGGCACCACGAAGGCGAAGAGGAACACGCAGATCTTGGTCACCGTGTCCCAGTACCAGCTGGGGCTGGGGAACTGGAGCATGCACACCACCGCCCCATCTGGGCCGCGGAAACAAGGAAAGACAGACGGGGTGAGGAGCCTGTGTGCCTAAGGGGCCCCCACCTGCTCACCCACCCTTCCAAGGCTTGGACAAGTCCCACCACCTCCTCCCAGCCTTTGTTCAAGGGGATTCTTCTGTCTGGAATGTCCTCCTCAGATTCTGTACTTGGTGAACTCTTAGTCATCCTAAAAGACCCAGTAGGATTGGCCCTCATCTGGGAGGTCCCCTATATTCTCTCCTGGCCCTTTTATCAGCCTTTGTGCCCATGGGTGGCAGTAATGAAATCATTTAGCTCAGCCCACTGAATGCCAGTCATTGCAGTAACTCAAAACACCCTGACCCATTTCCAAACTAGCTCCATTGGGAACAGGACTTCTAAGACAGACAATATGAGTTAGGAGCAGGACTCAGGCCCTACCACACAGTGTAAGGAAATTACTAAACCTCTTGGAGCTTCACTGGAGTGGGGCTAATGACAGTACCCACATCTCCAGGACTGTCGTGAGGATTAAATAGGCTAAGGCACCTAACGCATTTAGCACAGTGGGGTTCAAGCTGTTGGTGTACCCACAGGGAAGAGGGGCACATATGTGTGGGAGTCCAGGACTCAAGGATAGGGTCCGCCTCCCCAGAGGGAAGCAGGTCTCAACTTAATCGCAAGAACCTCCTGGCCAGGTGTGGGGCTCACGCCTGTAATTCCAGCACT